CCTAACGCCAGCAGTCCCACGTTTACACAGGCAGACACCCCAGTGTCTCCTGGCTCGCTCTGTAAATGCTAAAGGTCATGTGTGATTAGCAGCATGCTTCTCTGGAGATCGCATGTGGAAGTTGGCACCCCACTCAAGGGGGGACCATCTACTTTCCTTGGTGCCAATTATGGTCTCCACTTGACAAACAAGATGCAGTGCCCAGCCTGGGGGGAAGGCCCACAAAGCCCTGACCCCACAACTCAATTCCAATGAGAACCACCACTGGACACTTTATAAAGACCAGAAACAAAGCATATCCCACTGCCAGTAAGTTAAGGCCTCCGTCTTGTCACCAGGGTGTGCAGCTATCTGGCCGTGTTGGGGAGTCTCCAAGGGCCTCTCCCTCATTTTCTGGGCCGAAATCAGAATTGCAAAAATATCCTCACTGGTCCTGAAGATTTCTTCTCCAACCCCTTCTCCCTGGACATGGCCGCTGCATGTGAAAACAGATGTCACAGTAATTACAGACAGATCTTATCATCAGCCACCGGAAGTGAAAAGGTGTGAAATCAGGGCAGGTGAGAAAGTCACCCTGGGTTGCTGCTTCCTCTCCCTGCTTCCTCCTTCAGCCACTATGTCCCTCCCTCCACCTTCCACCTCTAAGCACCAGCAGCCACATGATGTCACCAAGCTGCCCAGCCCCCATAGCCAGCCCCCGCCCTGCACTGAGCTCCCCTGCCTGACTCCTCTGGCGAGGCCTTTTTGACCTTTAGTGCAAGGCAGTTTATCCCCTAGTGCTCCCTGCCTCTGGGGCTGGGTGTGTGCTGAGCTAGAGGGAGCAAATGGGGACCTGCAGCCCCACAACCTAGGACAGCATGTGCACACTGGTGCATCTCTGCCCTGCCCTCCACAGCCTGGAAAACGATGTTGCCCTTCTGGGTGAGGGACCAGACAGACCCTTGCTGCAGAGTCTGTGCCGGTTCTCATGCCCCAACATCTCATCCATAAACAAGATGACAGTTACATTAATGAGCAATGGAGGAATCCAAGACCAGGGAGTTTTTGGTGCAATATATTTTTCCATAAGGTAAAAATTAATTCCTGTATGGATTTTTCCATTCAATGTTTTGTTTCTATTCATTTTAATTCAATGATAAATGTTTAATAAACTTCTACTATGTGTCAACACTACTTTAAGGTTAGGGTAACAGTGGCACACACACAAAAAATCAGATGGCAGCCTTCTCTCTGTGTCTTTATGTGTTCCTTTCTCTGTGTGTGTCCCAATCTCTCCTTATAAGGCCATCAGTCATGCTGGATGATGGCCGACCCTAATGCCCTCTTTTTAACTCAATTACCTCTATAAAATCTCCAAATACATCACATTCTGAGTTACTGTGGGTTAAGACTTCAACAAGTGAATTGTGGAGGACACAATTTAGCCCATAACAAATCTTCTCATTGGTAACTGATCCCCTTTGTCACCTGAAATCCAAAGTGAAGTAGCTCTTTTTCTGTGGCTGTCCTGAGACTTTGTCTTGCAATTCCCCTGCCCAGATACTAGTCTTGAGAGGTAGGTCATTTAAATGGACCGTGTGCAGCAACAGGTAAAGCAAAACTTAGCATTTACCCAGTTCCCCCTTCCTTTCCCACATCACCACTTTCACATTCTTAAAGATAGTCCCTTGCCGTGTATTGGACATGTTGGCCCAGAATTTTAATTTTCTGCTCCTTCTGACAGGGTGTCTCCAAATGCCCTCAGAAGACACATTTCCAAGGCAGTTTAGAAGGAAAACTAAAAGTAGACAAACCTGAACTCATCTACCTCAGTCACTCTATAACTTTAGCTAAGTGATTTTAACATCACTTGACTTCAGTTTTCTGGTCTGTAAAATGGGGTTATCACAGCCTACTTCATACCACGACATGAGGTTTATAATATTCTGAACATGAAGCACCTAGCACAGGCCAGGCACACAAGTGTCCAGTAAATGTTAAATGTTCATTTCCTCCTCCCTTGTTCTTCCTATGCTTCTGATCTCCTATTTAAACAGCAAAAATGTTATGTATTGCCCCTAATAACATTACCATTCCAAAATACTTGGAAGTCTCTCTTCTTTTCTATTTCCTAGCTTGAGAGTCAAATGGATGTCATGTCAATAATATTTAACTACTATTAAAATAATGATACAGCTGCTCGCACAGTGTGGTACTGAGGCCAGCAGCATCAGCAGCAGTCCCGGGAACTTGTTGGACATGCAAAGTCCCAGGCACCAGCTCAGACCTTCTGTCAGAAACTCAGAGGTGGGACCCAGCCATCTGTGTTTCATCAGGCAACCCTAGCTCACTGGAATGCAAGCTTATTTTAAGAACTACTGATCTATGTTTAAGAACATGGACTCGGGGTTCAATCCCCAGTACCTCCACCAAAAGATAAACAAATAAACCTAATTACCACCCCCCCAAAATGTAATTAAGATAAAAAAAAGAACATGCACTCGGGGTTGGGGGTGGGTACAGCTCAGTGGTAGTACGCATGCTTAGCATACACGACGTCCTGGGTTCACTCTCCAGCATTCCCATTAAAAAGAAAAAAAGAACACGGACCCTGGAGCCAGGGTGCTTAGATTTGATTCCTCCTCCATTTTTCACTACTATGTGACCGTGTGTTAAGTGACTTCTCTGGTCATCTACCCCAGAGGGTTGTTGACAGGATTAACTGGGGCACTGCTCACGGAGCCCTGAGCAAGTCTCTGTAGTGCCTCACACTGGGATCACCTGGGCACTTACAAAAAATGCTGGAGCCAGAATCCCACTCCAGGAGCTAATGAATGAATTATATGAGGTGCTGCCCAGGAATCTGGGGTTTGAAAGCTCCACAGCTGAGTTTGGGAACACCAGTTCTGTGGTTTACAGCTTGCCGCTGGAACTGAACTAGCCGAGTTCAATCCCTGGCCCTTTGTCTTGCCAGCTGTGTGGCTCTGGGCAGGTTCTCAAAACCCCCCTATGCTATTTCCCACTTAGTCATTGCCTCCACTGTTATCATGGAGGGTAATAACAACATTGCCTACTTCTTAGAGTCACTGTGAGGATTAAATATCTGTAAGAGCCATTGCTGGTCACGCTGTCACCAGTCAGCAAGTATCAGCCATTAACATCACCATTGTGACTGTTACTGCCACCTACAGGAGCAGCTGAATTCTTTCCATAGAGATTCCCCAACACAGCCAGAATTCACCCACCCTTGTTAGGTGGCAGCCTCTACTTACTGAAAATGGGAAGGATGATTCTCTGCTTTTATTTTCTGATCTCTCTATTACCCACATGCAGCTCTCATTGGGACTGAGTTGTAGAATTACGGCTTTTAACCCTCTTCCAGCTGGATTTGCCTGGTAGAGACCACAGCTGGCTCTGAGGAGTCAGCGGTGCCCTGCCCCAGTAAGTGGGGCTCCACCTCCCACATGGGATCCCCACACAACCATTGTATGGCTGGGCCCCTCAAAATGACTGTCCTTTTGTTCTCAGTACAGCTCCTGCTCAACCAGTCGCTGCGTCATCTACACCCTACTCAAGTGACTATCTAATCCTCTTAATCCTAGGGCTTCATCAGTAACTACCTGCACGCTTGCCCCGGTCCCCACAACTGGCTTCCCTGGTAACTGAGGAGCCAACCTGACATCGATTCCCTCCATAAATGGTAGCCTCCTTCCCACATGAGTAGTGAGCACTGCTGCTGGGTTCTGCCTGCTGTCTGCCACATGCAGGGGGGTGTTGCTCCAGGACTTTGTTTCAGACTTGTAAGATTCCCTATCCAATAAACAGCTGCCATCTCTGTTGCTATCTCCTGGCTCTTTCTTTGGTTTCGTTCCTGGGCAATTACAAGCTTTGGATGCCTGCACAGTACACCATAGCCAACATGCAGCTAATGCTGAAGTGTATTTATCTCCTCACAAAGCCAGGAACCGGAATTGACTTCCCCTTCTTGGAGCCCTCGGGGAGAAAAGCATTTATAATTTCTCTATGTGAAGAAAGGTAAGTCTAGTAGAAAATTCTTTAATTGCATTAAAAATATACTGTCATGAAACATAACTTGTGATTGGTAACCACCACATAAAAAGGTACAACCAATACATGAGTGACAGGCCAAATTTACAGAATGCTGACATTACAATTTTATTTTAATCTACTCTCCACTTTTTCCACAAGGTGGGGTGCACAGAAAGGGACAGAGAGGCATCATCTACCTCCCGATCCCGCGGGGCATCTAGAAACTCCCAACGGCTCCCACTTCTCCGACTCACAGGGCAAAGGACCTTCCAGTCCAGCTCAGCTTCTACTTCAGCAAAGACCCAAGGCCAAACTCATACAGCTCTTCCCGGCGCAGGAGGGCAGACCCGGCACAGCGCACTCCCCCTCGGGCCCAGGTCCCTTTCCACCTTCCAGCCAGCGCGGCGGCCCCGGGACTGCGGCCTGGGCGCCCGAGCTCGCCGGTCCCCGCCGCGCAGCCCGGCGGCAGCTGAGAGGGGACGTCACGGGCACCCACAGCTTCCCGGACACCTCCCGCCACCGCCCCATGGCCGCTCGGGGACACCGTCCGAACCCCTTCCTGGGGAAGCCTAACTGCCGGCATCCACCCGACACCCTCCGAGGAGGGAACGTGAGAGGCGAGCGAGTGGAGGAGTCAAAAGAGAAAGCGACTTAACTGCAGGCCGCCGCCGCGTCCCGAGACTCGCGCACTCCAGAGACAGCGAGGGTCGGGAAGAGGCCCTTAAGGTCGCGTGGGCCACGACACCACACCCACCTCACGACCGACTCCGCTCACTGGACCAACTCGCCCGGTCGTAGCCGCAACGGGCATCCACACCACCTGCTATTTCTCTGCTGCCAATCTCGAAAATCCACCGGGTTCCCGCGAGCACCCACCGCGCCTGCGCACAGCCCGAGCGCTGGACGACGTGCTGTCAGTGCGCATGCTCCGGCCTTTGGCTCTTCCCCTCACGTTTTGAACCCTTTTGCCAAATCGGGCCGGTATGCGCATGCGTGTCTGCGGCACCTGGTCTCTCCAAACAACGGCGAGAAGCAGCAGCTCTTAAGTTTGGGCCTGGAGCCCGAGAAGGCTCAAAGTTCTTCATCTTCCCTCTGGCGGAAACTCAAGCACTGGAAGAGGGGTTCCGGGCCTGGCCTGCCCTGGAGGTGGCCGAATGGAGACCGGGACCGTGGACGGGCCGCTGACCCGCCGCCCGTCGCTGGCCTCTTCCTGGGATGCCGACTGCGGAGCCCTGGCCCAGAGGCTCCATCTCACCCGGGCTGATCTCGGCGCCCGGGACGCCCACTGGGAGGAGCTGCTGGCGCCGCCTGACACGAGGTGCGCCGGGCCCTCGGGACTGGGGTTGTGCTCTGCGACAGCCCCGCTGCTGGGGGAGCCGGGAGCGGATCGGGGGTCGGGGGGGGACACGGTCTGGGCCCGGGTCCGGGAGCCCAGATGGCGACGGGTCCGGGCCTGCGGCGAGGGCCACTGGGCAGGGCCCGAGTGTCCGGAGGGCGGGGGCGGGACCGCGGGAACCGGCGGCGACTCCAGTGAGTGTCGGATGCTGGGTTCTCGGGGCAGGTGACCAGGGAACTGGGCCTTTCACACACATCCCCTTGTGCCCGTCACGTCGGCTTCTGACGCCCTTGTCAGAAGCGGAATCGTCTATCTGGAAACACAGAAACCTCCTATCTACCAAAATAGGCTTTTAAAAAAAATTGTCGAACGTCTTCATCAGCTTAATCTTGAAAAGGACACACTTTTGGCCTTTATTCCATTCTGCACGCCCCCACCCTCCCATTCTGAACTATTTTGTTATTCACACTAGCTGCTTAGTAAATTTATTTAACTGGAGAGGCAATTACAGAGAGTTCTTAGAATGGAGAAGTCAAGGGGAAAGTAGAATGGAGAGCCCTGATGTCTAAAACATCGTTTCTTTAGGAATTCTGTATTGAGCATTTGTTCAGTGCGTTGCAAGGCGCTTGGACTCCGAATGCACATGTAAATGAATTGGATAAAATGGCAAGCCCTGGGGCCCAATAGGTGGGTTAGGAAGAGTGTTCAGCGAACTGTGCGGTGTAATAGTCTTCATTTTCTTTACAGCCAGGACCTGGTGGTTTTGCAAAGGAACCTGAACAGCCAAGATGAAAACCCCTGCTTCCTTTACCTGAGATGTGACCCTGGTGGAGGTGAAGAAATCGTTTCTATTGGCATTTTAAGTTCAGCAAGAAATATGGAAGTCTACTTAGGAGAGGAGTACTGTGGAACCAGTAGGGGCAAGAATGTTTGTAATGTTCTGGACGACAGGTTTGTGACCTACGCATGTGCAGGTGTTCTTGTGAAGTACTGTTTTGTTTTCTTCAGCTTTTGCATATTTATTGATTCCCTAATATTAGCGTCAGACACAAGGGGAGAGTAGATAAAAACATACCAACGGACATAGAGGTTTAGACCTTTAGGAATCTTAAAGACAGTCTGGATGAGCCTGGTTGTTTTTATAAATATAGAAATTGAGAGCTAATGGAAGAGAGAAAAGTTGGTAGACGGTCATACCTAGTTAGTGGAAGAGTTTTGCTGGTATAAAGTGCTGATAAATGTTTCTAGTCTGTTTTCTTTAACTCACA